CACTGAATGTACTCAGTCGTCTCGTGCGGTGCCGGGGAATGTGCCTAATACTTTCAGTCAGCGGGCGCGACGAACGTAATAAAAAGAAACGAGTTCACAGAGGGATGCAAGAGTCTATACTAGGAAGGATGAATGGAGAGATAGATAGAAGATAGAAGATGAAGTATGTGTTGTGAGATATTGAAGAGGAATAATGTGTAGATAGAAAGATAACGAGAAAAAAGATTAAAATAACATATGTAATAATGATTAATATATATACTAGTCAACATTATTAATATAGTATGTTAAATACCTAAAAAAAAGGGTTATACGTTCGTACTAGTGAGTATAGCCTCGAATTAGTGTATAGTTTGAATAACATCATTAGACTATATACTCATTATATGTATGTAATGGAGTTTCGATAGCATAGTCTCACAAGATATATCAATCTAAGTGTGCATCATTTATATTTGAACAGCCGGCAATTTATAACACCGCTAGTTATGCTTCAATTAGAAGTCGCCCATAACTGTAAGAGATATGATTACTCTGATAAAAGAACACGCATAAAATAGACCAGAGTATAGCAGATTATTTCATATGTTCTGCTCATTGGCGTTTACTCGTAGGATACTGGGAATTGTGCAGCAATGAGTGATCAGGAGATAAATGTAAAATAAATCACGTTGATTTACTATTCTTCATTTTCCACAGTTTTTATGCTCTATCTCAAAAGGAGACTCAGAGTAATTAATGTACAGTTCAAAGACCTGCTAATAGAAAAGATACTTGCACAACAACCCCAATTTAAGAATACAAACAGATGCACACCCCCTAGTCAGGAAGCCCGGGAGTAACACAAGGATTATCTTTCTCCCCCTCATAAGGCAGTCTAATTTTTCGTTTAATTAAGAGGCTTGCGCAATCGCTTGGTACAACGACCACAGCTCTCTCAGAGTTCGCTTTCGGATCGCGACCTACACTCTCGCGGTACTCTAGTGCCTTATACTCTACTCGTCTTGCACTCTTCGTCTCCTCTCTCATCTTCTCTCTGGTCGCTCTCTCTTCATCTCCTCCGCTCTCTCCTCGTCTCATCTCCTCTCTCTCTCTTCTCTCTCACTCCCTCTCTCTTTCGGCCGCCCCCCTCAGTGGTATACTCGCTCGTGTCACCTCTCGCCCCTCCTCCGATCTCGCTTTCCTCGCTCTCTCTCACTGCCCTATCCGCCTTCGCCTCGCACAATACTTGCCTTCTCCGCTTTCCCCTTCATACCCCATTCGCGCTCTTGTTACTCTTATCCCTCAGCTTTAGCCTTCGCGTACTCGGAGACCGCCGATCCTAGACAGATCATGCGTGTTATCCGCTCAATCAGTCAGCGCTGTGTCTGAAGATGACTCGGATCTCTCGCCCTCTGCACTCCCTCGCCCCCGCTTAGACATCGCTCGCCCCCCCTCGCTCCAAATCTCGCGCATACGTACCCGACGCTGCCTCGGCTCTTGATGAATGGTAGCCCGAACGACAGGATGTACTATGAATGCAATTGACCTGTGTTGCAGCCCGCTCCTACCTCGGTCGCCCTCACTCCTCCTCCCCCACGCCCCTCCCTCACTGCTCCCATAGTCAATTCCTGCGACTAATTCGCCCCGGATCGTGATCTCTGAGCGCTCTAGCATAGATTTGAGGCATAGTGTGTGATCGAGCGAAGTCAATACTTATTAGTCTCTGCGGCATTTTTATGTTATTTAAGTGCTGTGTCTCATTCTCTATGATACTCCGCGCTCTCAGTCAACTGCAATAATCGCAGGAAATCACACTACATATCAATATGCTTATTTTAAGTTCTCTCGTACGCCGGGAATCTAACCCCACTGAATTAACGTCGAATAAGGAGTGACAGACATAATCTGTCCACACACAGGCGACGACATCGCACATCCCACAACACGGTCACATATCAACACACGACAATCACACACACGCGTTAAAGCAAAGAAAAAAAAAAAAAAGATATAACACTCTCTGACAAAGACATTCTCACCCACTCCCCCCCGTTCTACCCGCTTCCCGATAGCCCCCCCAAACAGTGCATCTTCGTCGAGGATACAGATGGGCTCGCGCCGCAGGTAGAGCTGTGCGCCGGTTGGTATTACATTTTCGGCAAGGTGCCTCTCGTTAATGTACGGGTGACCGAGGATATGCGCAATAGACGGGTAGCATACCCGCAAAGAGAATTTAGTGGAAAGAGGGCGTGAGTCGGGCGGAGCGAGATAGATAGACTAGTGGGAGGTAGATTAGACGGGAGGAGTAGTACGGGGGCGAAAGGGGAAGATCGCGGTAGCTGGGCGATTAGAAAGGGGAGGAGAGAGAGGAGGGGGTAGCGGAAGGGGTAGTGGGGATTAGAAAGGACGAGGAAAAGGGGGGAAGGCGCGAGAAGGTAATGACGGATTAATGAAAAGTGCGGAAAGACGCGGGAGGATGGGAAAGGTAGCTGGGGGTGATAAGGGAGTGAGTCGACGGATGGGGAAGGGAAAGAGGGAGGTGGGGATTAAGAAAGGGGAGGGAAAGAAGCGGGGGAGGGAAAGGTGAGGTGGGTGAATTGAGAACGAGTAGAGTGAAGCAAGGGGAGAAGGTAAGTGGGTGAGAGCGAGCGATTAGAAAGTCGGAGGAGGAGGGGGGAAGGGAAAGTAGCTCTGTGTGTGATATCTCGAGCCAGCGAGGTCAGAGGGGGGAGGGGAAAGTAGCAGTAATGGGATTAAGAGAGAAACCACAAGAAAGGAACACAGAAAGGACGACAGAAATAAAGGGTACGGGAAAAGGGAGGGAGGGTAGTCCGGAGAAGAAGGGAGAGTAAGGGAAGAGTTAGTGGGGGTGGGTGGGGGTGGGGTAAGGGATATCGGGGGTGACAGGAAACATTAGGAAGCCGACGTGGTTAGACAGCTCTCTTTCTTCCGCCGTGGTGATGGATGGTTTGGGGGGGGGAGGAGAGAAAGGAGAAGGAGGAGGGAGGGGAGGAGGAGGCGGAGGGAAGGGGAGGAGGAGGCGGAGGGAGGGGGAGAGGAGGCAGGAAGGGGGAGGAGGAGGGAGGAGGAGGAGGAGGAGGAGGAGGGAGGAGGAGAGGGGAGGAGAGAGGGAGAGGAAGAGGAGGAGGAGGAGGAAGAGGAAGAAGAAGAAGAAGAAAGAAGAAGAAGAAGAAGAAGAAGAGGAGGAGGAGGAGGAAGTGTAGGAGGAGAAGAAGGAGAAGGAGAAGAAGAACAAGAACGAGAAAGAGAAGGAAAATGAGGAGATGAAGTGGAAGGGAGAGGGGAAGAATAAGGTAAAGGGGAGGGAGAAGGACAGATCCAGAAATTAAATAAATATAAATCTCGATAGACAGATACACATAGACAGAGACAGAGACGTAAAGAGAAAGAGAAACAGACGCATCACACACACTCGCGTTCTGCCGGAATATCCATAATCACGTGCACATGATATATATATGTTAATGCACATGAATTATGAATATCTGCACACGTATGTTTATACATGTCTGTCCGTATATCCATGATGGTATATGCAAATGCACTGCGATTGCGTATTGCATGTTCCTCATGTCCTTGTACCACAAAAATAAGAGTACACATTACATCATTCAACATGGTTCACTAATACGAAAAAAATGTACACCACACGTACAAAAGCGTGCCGGTGGTTGGCAAGTGTTGTTTGGTGAGGGTAGCCTTAACAAACACCAAAGTAATGAAGTGTTGTGCGCATCGCGTGTGGTTGGCAAGTGTTGTTTGGTGAGGGTAGCCTTAACAAACACCAAAGTAATGAAGTGTGCATTGCGCATGTGCTGAAGAAAGTAATTGTGCCACGTGTTCAGTGAAGGGAAACGATGATCAAGAATTCATTACCGAGTGAGTATGAAGATGTGCAGGTGAACATTGAGGTGATGAACAAAGACCGTAGATAATATACAGGCACTCTTTTCCATCATATTAAGAACCGCTGACATGGCACTCTGCTCTATAGAATATCTAGCCTGGCACCCGCGATTCTTTCTAGAGTCGAGTATAGAAATTTACATGAATGCAGAACAGACAATGGCACTGTCCCGGAAGGATCTAATTTGTAATTTCATTCTATCTTGCAGCGACTTGAACAAAAACCTACAAATCAATTAGAAAAAAAATAACCTTGAAATCTGAACAGAAAATAGCATTGAAATCTGTTTGTGAAATAACCTACAATCATGAACTTCAAATAACTAAGAACTTTGGCCAAAAAGTAAACTTTGAACACAAAATAACCATAAGTTTATAAACAATAGACGATAACACAGAACTCTAGATAGGAAGTAAACTAGAACCTGGAGCAGGAAAAAAACTCAAGGCAATCTAAATCCTTTTATAAGTTACTTTCTATTATTTTTTTTTTCAGTATGTATATGCTTCTCGTTACGATTCCCTTATCTTTAATTCTAGACATAAATTCAGATTTAGATCGATTCTGAATCTAACGTCAGCAATGTGCCAAGAAAAAATGACGGAAAAAGTGCTTGTGCCCAAAGGCCTTCAGAGTGCAGACGCAAACACTGTGCATATAAGTGTAAGTGATTCACAATATACGAGTATTTTGGCGAATCTTCCTGGACAGTTTGGAAAAAAAAGATAACAAATAAAATCATAAAATTAACATACTTCACTTAGTAAGAAACTTACCTTGTAACTGTTCTACAATACCTGTTAAACCCAAAACCTTGAATTGTCCCAACTGGTTCTCTCACCCAATTATCATTCTGGTACAAGTCATGCGGATCTTGACACCAGTCTTGCCTTTGAAGGAGCAAGACGATGAGAAATTAACGACACGGAGATAAACCTTCAATACAATTATCTCCTGTTCTGTCAAGGTGTGTGCGTGCGCATGCGGTTTGGGCGGGACATGCAATCAAGCTCTTTAGCAAGCGCGGGAGTCCAAGGGTCAACCACATGCAACATTTATCGGGAAGGCGGTAGGTTTTTAGAGTACTTACACAAGGAAGTGATGGAGCTCGTGCGGGCGGGGCCTGCTGCATGCAACGCCCTGATTGGCAGCCGAGACGAGACACGTGACAGGTTGGACGCATGTGATAGGTCAGAGGAGGAGCTGACGTCACTGGGACAAGGGGACACGGGGCGAGACGTGGTTGCCAGCTTGTCCAAATCTACAAATCACAAACACCACATGTAAGCACCTAAACCGCCTGTAATCACGAGGCTCACTCAGAGAAACATTCACAAGAAACGTTCGCAACAAACGTTCCCAAGAAACGTTCGCTACAAACGTTCCTAAGAAACGTTCGCTACAAACGTTCACAAGAAACGTTCGCTACAAACGTTCCCAAGAAACGTTCGCCACAAACGTTCCCAAGAAACGTTCGCTACAAACGTTCCCAAGAAACGTTAGCTAAAAATGCGTCCACTCGCAATCATTCTCCCTGAGTCTTTGTTTACACACGCTACTCAGCCATTAGCTTTTTAGAGGCATACAAACTTGCTGAAAAAAAAAAAACAAACACTGAAAAAATAGGCATTTAAAAAGGAAGGAAGGAATGAGTAGTAACACGATTTAGCCAAAAGGGAACGTGGGCAATTTATGTCATTTTAGCCAGGGCAGCGTGGAGGCAGGCCAGACGCAAGGGGTAATTTTAGCTCTGAGGTCAAAGAGCAGGTCATGGGAGAGTACGGGATGGATGTGTCATTTGTCGGAGCGTCGGTCAGGAACGTCTCGAAGTCGCCGTGGGAATCGTTGGGATTGTGTGTCAGAATGTCAGTATGTCCAGTATGCAGCGTGTTATTAGCGTTATACATATATTGGACTAACAAAATTTAAAGGAATTATACGATTAGAGATCGTCTGCTAACAACACTTTAACAGACAAATCATTTCGGACATCTTGAGTTTATGAAGTATGAACATAGACACGTAAAATCATCACACCAAAGAAAAACGCAGCTACATGTACATGCACACACGTGTACACACACACACACAACACACAACAAACACACACACAAACAACACACACACACACACACAACACACACACACACACACCACACACACACACACAACACAACACAACACACACACACACACACACACACACACACACACACACACACACACACACACACACACACACACACACTCCACGGGGAGCGCCTATCCCATCCACCGCTATCGCAGATGTGTTGACATTCTCATCAGGAGTGTGTGGGAAGCAAAACACCGCCACTCCTGACGCTCCCCTCACTTCCCCTCTCCAGCCGAAGTCCAATTCATTACATCTAAACATAAAGGCGACTTTGCAGAAATTATTGTTATGGATTTTCTTATTCGTCCGTTAGGAAGAGGAGAGGAGGGAGGGAGGGGAAGAGGGAGAGGGAGAGAGGGGAGAGAGGGGAGGGAGGGGCGGAGGAGGGGGCGGGAGAGGGGAGGGGAGGGAGAGGGGAGGAGGAGAGAGGAGAGAGAGAGGAGAGAGGAGAGAGGGAGAGAGAGAGAGAGAGAGAGAGAGAGAAGAGAGAGAGAGAGAGAGAGAGAGAGAGAGAGAGAGAGAGAGAGAGAGAGAGAGAGAGAGAGAGAAAGAGAAAGAGAAAGAAAGAAAGAGAAAGAAAGAAAGAGAAGAGAGAAAGAGAGAGAAGAGACAGAGACAGAGAAAGAGAGGAAAGAGAGAAAGAGAGAGTCAGAGAAAAACACAGAGGCAGCCAGAGACAGACAGACAAAAGAAGAAAAAAAGAGAGGAATATTTGAGAAATATTCCACCAGCAAGAAATATCATAACAGACGTCACGCCTCTCCCTCGCCTTGCACGCACTCGAAAAACAACAACAACAACAAAACAACACTTCCAGGATGTCATTTCCAATTTTCCCACCAAAGAAAAAATACATTAATTGGACGGAATTCATTTACATATTTATCACGTCAACTCCCCCCCCAGAGACGACGCGAAGAAAAAAAGATATATTTCCATGACGTCATAGGTTGATGATCGTCTTGCTGACCAAGATGAGGAAAAACGAGAGATGAAAGGAGGTAATTAGGATAACTGATGGTGGGAAGGAAGCGAGGAGAAACGCGAAGAAGGAAAAGGAAAAAAGAGATGATGATGAGATTCTCTTTTAATCACAGGCAGAAAAAGAATGAAAACACACGGAAGGAAAAGAGAAAATACCAAAGAAGGGAACCAAATGAAACAAATACAGACAAAAGAACACAATAACGTAAACGAAAACGCTAAAAATAAGACAAAAAGAGAGAGAGAAGAGAGAAAGTAGGTGGATGGCATCACCGCATCCAGTGACTAACATCCGTCGCATTTAAACTTTACGCAGAGACGCAAAAACACCCCCCTCGGTGCGCGGGATGACAACAGCCGCCCGCGCTCTGCCCGCTGGCGCGCATCCTTCCCGCCCACGCCCACGGGGGAGACGAGGAGGCGTGTGCACGGGGGCCAAGAAGTGGGTTGGATTCCACAGCAACCGGGGATGGAGTCTGATTCTACGCTGGGAGTAGCTGGAGCGATAATGATGGGAAAGAATAGGCGCAGGCAATTATTGTGGGAAAAGAGAGCGGAAATAAGGAGGGGCAAGAGAGAGGAGGGAGGGAGGAGGGAGAGGAGACAAGAGGAGAAGGAGGAGGAGGGAGGGAGAAATGGGGGAGACAGGAGGAGGAAGAGGAGAGGACACGAAGAGAAAAAAAAATAAACAAAGAAGAATAGGGACGAGGAACAGGAACGAGATACACCACTCAACAAACACGAAGAAAACAAAAAAACAACAAAAAAACAGCAGATACAACCCGAAACCCCCGAAAAAAGACCAAAAAAAATCGACGCCACCCCATCCCAATGACCATGCTAATGACGATAACGCGACCGGCCCTAATGACGGCGATAATGATAACCGAAAGCCAGCACCAACGACGTCCGCGCCGAGACCCGCCGGAGGGAGCCAGGACACCGGGTCTAATGTCTCGAGATGGCCGGTTGTTTCCCACGAGGGCGGAGGGGGGGGGCGGGGGGGGGGGGCAGACAGAGGAATACAGAGGGGAACAGAGGGGAGGGGAGGGGAGGGGTGGTAGTGGGGAGAGAGGAGGGAGAGGAGAGGAAGGAGGGGAGGAGAGGAGAGGGTGGAGAGGAGGGGGGAGGGGAGGTGTGGCAGAGAGGGACAGAAGGGAGGAGAGGAGAGGAAAGGGGACGGGAGGAGAGGGTGGCAGAGGGGAGAAGAGAGGAAAGGAGGCAGAAAGAACAGAGGAGGAAGGGAAAAAGCATCAGAGGACAGAGGATGAGAAGGAACAGCAGGCGAGTGAGGGAAAGGGCGACTCTTCCTACACCCAGTAGGAAGGAAGAGGAAGGGGAAAGGGTAAGAGAGGGAAGAGTAACGAGGGAGAAGAGGATAAGAAACGGGGAAAGGGACGGAGAAACGGGCATGATAAGAGTCCCGGAGACGAGCAAAAAAAAAAGCAAGGAAGAGGTAGAGAAGAAGGAAGCGACGGGAAACTACGTAGATGACAAAAAAATCTGAATCATAGTTTTTAATAAGTCTCACATAACCCTATTCTTCATCACATCTTATCCGTCATCCCTCTATTCGCCTCCTTAATCCACATTTATCATCATTCCCACATTCATCATCCTCTCTCCTTGCGTTTCATTTAACCTCAATATCGACCGATCCTTCCACAGACTGAAATCCACGCATCGGAATGAACAAAAATGAATAAAGCAAAATAAAAAACATATTCCCCCGCAAAAGCAAATCTGTGCCAATTCTCCGAGTTGTATAATTAAACAAACAGATCCCTCTATCACGTGCCGCTGCAGGAAGGGGGAAGGAGCGAAGTCCAGCGCAAGATAATATTGAAAAATGAAATAACAATTGATAATAACGGAAATGAAGGAACAGCAACACCAATAATAACGACAAAAACAACAAGGTGGACTACAACAATAAAAACATCAACATCAACAACTATAACAATAACCGCTAAAACACCAATAACACCTTTAATAACAAAAAGTAGGCTATGCTAACAACATAAAAAATAACAAGAACCCTTTCCCAACAAACCCCAACATAGACTGCCGTAATAAAAAAGAAATATGAAAACACGCTGGAAAAATGAACAAAATACCCCCACACGTAACAAACAACATCCCCATAACTAAAATTTGCATAAAACAACAACAACAAAAGAGAGAAGCAAATGAAACCCAGTCACGAACCCACGGAAACGCACGAGAAAAAAAAACCCTGAGAAACCCCTTCCCCTCCCCCTTCCCCCTCCCCCCTCCCCCCAAAAGAGAACACAAAAGAAAGCCAGAAAAACGTCAATAAGAATAAGTGAAAAACGAGAGAGAAGAAAGACAGAAAAACGACAATAAGAATAAATGAAGAAAACGAGAGAGAGAGAGAGAGAGAACAACACCAACCAAGTCCTCTTCCTCCTCCTCTTCTCTTCCTCCTGTTCCCACGAAGCTCCTGAGACGGACACTTCCATTCATACTCTTCCTCGTGTATTTAAAAATCATTCTCCCATTCACCAAATCTTACTACCACTTCCCATTGAGAAAATAAACAACCGCATCGAAATAAATTTAAAAAATAACCAACCATGCGAAACAAAACCATAATAACATGAACAAAAATGAACAAAAGCAAAACCATAATAACATGAACAAAACTGAACAAAAAAGAACAACGGGGAAGAACAGCCAAACGCCAACATTAGAACGCTGGAAATTTCATAACTCCACTTCCGGTGGGCAGCGGGTTAGTGGAGTAAATTATGAGTTGGAAGGAAGGGGGGAGGAGGAGGAGGAGGAGGAGGAGGAGGAGGAGGAGAGGAGAGGAGGAGGAGGAGGAGGAGGAGGAGGAGGAAGGAGGAGGGGGAGGGAGGAGGAGAGGGGGGGAGGAGGAGGAGGAGGAGGGAGGAGGAGAAGGAGGAAGGAGGAGGAGAGAGGAGGAGGAGGTGAGGGTTTGAGGGGGGGGGAGGAGGGTAGGGAAGGGAGAGCGGGCGAAAGGAAAGGGGGAGGGGGAGGGGTAGGGAGGGGGGTTGTTAGGCTGAGGATGGGGTGGGGTGGAGGTAGATAGAAGGGGGGGGAGAGAAAGAAAGACATTAAGGAGATTAGAAGGAGGTAGCGATGAGGGAAAAACAGGC